AAGTACACATAAAATCACTTTCTAGGACCTTGCACATGTTTGTCCATATATACACAAGTACACATAAAATCACTTTCTAGGACCTTGCACATGTTTGTCCATATATACACAAGTACACATAAAATCACTTTCTAGGACCTTGCACATGTTTGTCCATATATACATAAGTACACATAAAATCACTTTCTAGGACCTTGCACATGTTTGTCCATATATATACATCAGTACACATAAAATCACTTTCTAGGACCTTTTACATGTTTGTCCATATATATACACAAGTACACATAAAATAACTTTCTAGGACCTTGCACATGTTTGTCCATATATATACACAAGTACACATAAAATCACTTTCTAGGACCTTGCACATGTTTGTCCATATATACATAAGTACACATAAAATATTCCAAATTCTTCCACATGCACAAATAATGATCATATCACATTTCACATGATAACTTAGCCAGTTATATTACAGTCAGTCAACATGAACAAAGATCTGAAGGTCATCTAGATACTATCTTCATTAAACACTACTTTATCAGCCAGTTATATTACAGTCAGTCAACATGAACAAAGATCTGAAGGTCATCTAGATACTGTCTTCATTAAACACTACTTTATCAGCCAGTTATATTATAGTCAGTCAACATGAACAAAGATCTGAAGGTCATCTAGATACTATCTTCGTTCAACATTACTTTATCAGCCAGTTATATTACAGTCAGTCAACATGAACAAAGATCTGAAAGTCATCTAGATACTATCTTCATTAAACATTACTTTATCAGCCAGTTATATTATAGTCAGTCAACATGAACAAAGATCTGAAGGTCATCTAGATACTATCTTCATTAAACATTACTTTATCAGCCAGTTATATTACAGTCAGTCAACATGAACAAAGATCTGAAGGTCCTTTAGATATTATCTCACTAAGTAAGATTACACAAACATTTTACAACACTGTGTTATCAGCATGACAGTCCTCCCTACACCCTGGTTCTTCTAGATAGAACAAGTCTCACTAAGTAAGATTACACAAACATTTTACAACACTGTGTTATCAGCATGAAGTCCTATAATCAAGATAAGTATCAAACCTAGAATATCTTACAATAGATTCAGTAACAACAATCTACTATCTTTACCTTTATAAGTTTTATTTCCTTCTTCAAGATGTACGATAAAATTGGATGGTTTCATAACAAATCCATGCTCTTCAACCTTTAAAACAGTGTGTTACAATAGTTTAGCACCTTACACGTGATCTAATCTTCACAGTTAACACTACAGTCTCTCGTTATTCCATTGTTAGGAAGGTTACCAGTTGACAGACATCTTTACAATTTTTGTAATTAAACGTTTGGTTAATACATAAAAAACATTTCTGATGTAAAACATTGTTGTTCTAACCATTAATGTCATAATAATTTAATTCCATACTATTTTCAAATTTCAACATTAATGTGTTATGAATCTGAAAAACCTTCAGAACTACAGTTTTCAATTTATCTAGAATAGAAAAAAAATCCAAATAGAGAATATTAAACTCAAGATTTTCTTACCTCCTCTCCCTTTTTATCCTTTTTACCCTTTTTTTCTTTGATTGACCCTTTCTTAGTTTCATCTTCCTGTGTATAAACATTATATACAGTTTTGTAAGTCCCAACTTAGAACTGTATATAAAGATCTGACTATGTAAGTCCCAACTTACTAGTCAGATCTTTATATACAGTTCTAAGTTGGGACTTACATAGTCAGATCTTTATATACAGTTCTAAGTTGGAACTTACATTGTCAGATCTTTATATACAGTTCTAAGTTGGGACTTACATAGTAAGGTCTTTATTATATACAGCTGTAAGTTGGAACTTACATAGTCAGATCTTTATATACAGTTCTAAGTATCATATACAGCTGTAAGTTGGGACTTACATAGTCAGATCTTTATATACAGTTCTAAGTTGGGACTTACATAGTCAGGTCTTTATTATATACAGCTGTAAGTTGGGACTTATATAGTCAGATCTTTATATATAGCTGTAAGTTGGGACTTACATAGTCAGGTCTTTCTGTACAGCTGTAAGTTGGGAATTACACAGATGAGATAATATTTATTACAATACACTTCACACTAAATAGCTTAAAAACTGTTCCTTCACCTTGCTAATGATAAGTGATTCACACTATTGTAAGCTCAATGCCATAATATTTTTTACAGAGGGTTGAGTACATTATATTAAAATGATTTTGAACATGCAAATGAGCAACTCACATCCAACCACAGCCAATATAAAGTTGTGGTGTATCAGAACTACATTATGACATTGTTTGGTGCTACACAGGTCATGTCACGCCACAGAAAGTAACTGGGAAGGGCAGGTAAAGTATTCATGATTATAAAGATGTTTCAGATCTAGGATTTAGAATTTCTAAGACAGGAATATCCCTTGCACTTAATGGCATTGGAAACAAAAGGAATATGGATTAACATTGGGCACCAGGATCATAAAAAAAAAGACCTGCAACAATCATACCCCACTGAAAAGCAAAGTGTGGTGACTTGTAATAGGTGAAACTACATAAACACAAAGGTCAGTGGCAAAAGCTGTCCATGTACCTCAAGAAACATTACGCAACATAATCAAAAAGGATATTTGTTTGGAAAAAGAAACAAGACCCGTGTACAAGAGTTACTTCTACAAAAATATCTATTCAACAGTGCACACCTCTAGCAGCTGGAAAATTAAACGGGCAATTGTGCTATTCTATATGAAGACATACAGGTCAAGCTGCCTGATGCGGAGTTTATGGATTTCATGTGGTCAGACTGTTGAAACGGGTACTGGGAAACTATTGTACTTGCACATCAGATGGATTATGAAGTGCATGGAGGGAGGAATGTTGGCATTGGATATGACAGTTTTACAACGATGCTGCATGAAAATGATGCTGCATGGCTGTTGTCAATATATTGTGGTCCTATGGACTTTAACCACATGGTGAGACCCCAAAATTGTACTTAATATAATGCACTCATAATCAAAAAAGACCAAAAATTACATTTGCCACAAGAAATTTTGCAGTCAATCTAATGTTAAGTTGAAGAGATTTGTAGGCAACTAAATAGTAACTTTTTTTATTTCTTCTGCTGGAACTTCTTCAGGTAGTTTAAAAATTGCAACAGACCCGCCCTCTTCATCTGAAGGATACTCTGGAAACTTCCCAGTTTCTTCTCTGTAATGTTAAAAAAATATCAATTACCTATTACGAAATGTGCATATTGATTACTTGAGCATAAAAATCAGATCTTAAGTTAATCTAAAAGTATCAATAATGAAACTGAAAAAAAAAAATTAAACTTTGTTATAGTATGTAATGTGATCTGAAAACAATAATATTGAATAAATTTTACAGTCTGAGCTGAAGGTTTTGGTTTTGATATTTTTAGATTTTCAATAAACCTAACTGCCATGAAACAAGGAAAAATTTGGCTAATTTTTTAACCTGACAAGGACCACACACAAGAAGAAAAAAAAAACATAATTTCTATTAGTTTGTTTCTAAAATAAAAAGGTGTAATTATTCTGAATATTAACAAGTTTTCAATAAAGGAAAAACAACTATATATAACTACCGAATTCTTTATTTCTGTAACTATATGTAGCAGATAAACACATGTAGATTAAAATATTCCTAATTACTTTATAAACATATAATAATGTTCATAACATGAAATTCTCATTAATAATAATACCAAAATAGGTAATTGATAAACAATTTGAACTTGAGATAAACCTTATTTCTAGTTCTACAAACTATAAAACCATTAACTGAATGTGCACAGGAGTAGTATTGGAGAACGAATGTTAACTATAATTGCTAATTTACTAATAAAGTTTATCTACATAAAAGGCGGCAAGCTTTTAGTAAGATGTGCAAGGTTATTGTACAGAAAAAAACAGATGAGTTACAAAGTATCTTTGAATTGATTTTCCTACTAGTTTAATTAATATACCCAATGTTGTCTAATGAATGGGTTTTCCAACTAGTTTAATTAATATACCTGATGTTGTCTAATGAATGGGTTTTCTTACTAGTTTAATTAATATACCCAATGTTGTCTAATGAATGGGTTTAGATACTAGTTTAATTAATATACCTGATGTTGTCTAATGAATGGGTTTTCCTACTAGTTTAATTAATATACCTGATGTTGTCTAATGAATGGGTTTTCCTACTAGTTTAATTAATATACCCAATGTTGTCTAATGAATGGGTTTTCCAACTAGTTTAATTAATATACCCGATGTTGTCTAATGAATGGGTTTTCCTACTGGGTATATTAATTAAACTAATGTTGTCTAATGAATGGGTTTTCCTACTAGTTTAATTAATATACCTGATGTTGTCTAATGAATGGGTTTAGATACTAGTTCAAAAATTCAAACCTATTCTTGAAAAGCCATTCTCTAATCTGATCTTGCATCTGTTCTTTGATATCTAGACCTTCAATTTTCTCAAGTTTCTCCTTCACTGACACCAGGGCTGTTTTGTAGTCTGCTTCATGCTTAGTTTGAAGCACGTGCCGCTGTTTCTCAATCACGGTGGCTCGATGTCTGGCAGTGTGTTCTATATTAGCAGGTAGAGGATGGGGAATCTTCGAAGAAGAAATGAATATTTTATTAAAAGTTAGGTTACTTTTATATTCATTCACACAATTAATCAATCAAGAAAGGAAAGAAAGACCAGATTATTTTCAGGAAGATACTACAAAGATACTATAAACACCAGATTACTTACAGGAAGATACTATAAAGATACTATGAAGGCCAGATTATTTTCAGGAAGATACTATAAAGATACTATAATCACCAGATTACTTCCAGGAAGATACTATAAAGATACTATGAAGACCAGATTATTTTCAGGAAGATACTATAAAGATACTATGAAGGCCAGATTATTTTCAGGAAGATACTATAAAGATACTATAATCACCAGATTACTTCCAGGAAGATACTATAAAGATACTATGAAGAACAGATTACTTCTAGGAAGATACTATAAATATACTATAAAGACCAGATTACTTCCAGGAAGATACTATAAAAATACTATGACGAACAGATTACTTCCTGGAAGATACTATAAATATACTATAAAGACCAAATTATTTTCAGGAAGATACTATAAAGACCAAATTACTCCCAGGAAGATACTATAAAGACCAGATTACTTCAAGGAAGATACTATAAAGATACTATGAAGAACAGATTACTTCCAGGAAGATACTATAAGCACCAGATTACTTCCAGGAAGATACTATAAAGACCAGATTACTTCCAGGAAGAT